TCTTTCTGAATCGAAATATGGCCAGCATAGACCCTGAGCGGTAAACTGGTGCCACAGAGCCCCTCCGACCCGAGGGGTCCTCTGAATGCGATAGGGGGGGGGACTAGATGGCACGTGCCTCCTGGGACCCCCTGACTACGCTACTATTTCATATGCGTCATGTCAGGTATTTTGGGCTTGCACCCCAACTTGAAGAATGTTCCTGGGCCCCTGTGACAATATATTGTATTCATTATAGGTATTCGTCATTAGCTTGCACTCTCTGCAATCTGCCCATACTATTATTTGTCCCTAGACGCGCTTACAGAGAGCAGGGATAAGCCCATACAGTCAACGGCCTGTTAGTTTCGCAAACAGCCGCCAGGGGCGCTAGGGTCGCCTATGTTGTGAGATAGGGCAAACTTCTCTCGCTCGGCGCCGCCTGGGGGTTAAAATTTGCGGGAAATTAACAATGCCACGCCCTTTCCACATGAGTGGAGCACAATAAAATCGATGGAGCGCCTTGCATTGCGATTAGTGACACACCCTAACCTACGCCTTTGACGAACTGTGCCGACCCCAAGCAGATCTGGTCAATCGTTGGTCGTTTGTATACGCATTCTCCTGCACCGTGCTAGTATTGTCTTATACCTTTTCAGTGCTCGCTGTCCTGCGCCTTGCAATCAACAAAATGCTGCGGCACCAGGACTCACAGTCTTGTCTCTGATATGGTTTTCTTCACCCGCGCCCCGTAGGGGGGGGGGCCGAAACGGCCCCCCCTGTCCTTTTCGGTCGATATCTCCTAAACGGCTGGAGATATCGCCACCAAACTTTCAGGACCCCTCCGGGCATCAATTTTACACATTGTGACCAAAAATTTTTCCAGAGGCTATGATAGGTTGGCCACAAATGACGTCAGAGTGACGTCATGTTCTGTCATTTTCGACCGAAAAAAGACCTTCGCGAGAAGACCTGTCAGGACTACAGCTTTGAAGATACAGAAAAATGATCTAGACATAAAAGGTGTAAAATTGACAGGGCTACAAAACTGCTATCTCGAATTTTTGAAATTTTTGAGTTTTGACCCCCAAAAATCAAAAAAGCATTTTTTTGGATATATTCGCCGAAAAATCCAAAAAGTTTTTTGAGTTTCGAAAAAATCGGAATATATGTGATAGTGCCTACCGTCTTCTATCTACATACCAAATTTCAGATCGATACCTCGTTTTTTGGCCAAGTTATAGCGAAAAAACTGTTCAAAAATGATGACGTCAAATTTTCAAACTCAATTTTTGGCAATTCTAGAACTCGTAGAGCAAAACGAAGACCACCATTAGACTCCCCGTGACGAGCTGCATCGAATCGATAACCATTTTATGCAAAAATATCAACTTTGAAATTTGACCTAATTTGACCTGACCTTGACCTGACCTTCACAAAAACGTGACCTAGGCTGGCCCCAAAGGCTGCCTAACCCACATAATCGCATTTGTCATGTAAAATGGACCATAAAACATGTATCACACGACACATTCATATTGTGACCCCCGGTGACCTGACCTCGCTGTGACCTGACCCGGTATCAGTGACCTCAGATAGCAAAGTATGTGTTTGACGAACAATATACCATCGATGGTTTTCAATAAATTACCAATTTACTCGCTTTCACAGCACATTTCTTGAATTGCCTGTGAACGGTGAAAATCTGACCTTTGACCTGACCTGTGACGTCATCGGTTTGACCTAGGTCAATGAAATTTGGTCACAAGGTAGTTCCCGGGTGGGGCTATCGAACGCCGTTTGAATTTTGAAAATCGGCCGGTAACTTTCCGAGATCTTAGGGGGGGGGCCGAAACGGCCTCCCCCCTACGGGTGGTAGGGTCCGCCGGTAGCCCTACGGGGCGCGGGTTAAGTGAAGGAAATTGCGGTCAATAACGCTGTAGGAACAAAAGGGAATCATCATTTAGGAACAAAAGGGAATCTTCATTAAAGGGCAAGCTGAATAGTTGTCAAGTTCTGGTGTTAAGGGTACCGGGTGGTAGGTACAGAGTAGACAGACACTTAAGTCAGCAAAAAGTGGGGGGGGGGGGGTAGTTAACATTGCTGCCCCCCCCCACCTCCGAAAGTGGGGGGCCATGGCCCCCCGGCCCCCCTGTTCCTACCCCTATGTGACCCTATCTAACGGCGCCGGAGGTAGAGTACTGTCGCGGCCGCTTCCAAATAATATGGGCGTCTTCCAAGGATCTGCCCTGGGACCGTTACTCTTCACCATATTTTCGAACAACCTCTCGCTATACGCAGGTGACGCCACCGTTTTCCAATATGCGGACGACACCCAGGTTCTAGTGAGCGGCCGTGCCGACCACCTCAGATCGCTTATCTCTCGCATGGAAGCTTCACTCGCATCAATCAGTAACTGGTTCTGTCTTCACGCCCTCAAGCTAAGCACAAACAAAACACAACTCATGGTTTTTGGCAGCAGACAAAATTTACGGAAAGTACCCGACTTCAGCGTCTCTCTTCGTGACTCTGTGTTGCAGCCATGCGAGCAGGTGGGGAATCTGGGTGTTGTCTTTGACAGCACCCTGTCCTGGGAAGCCCATTTGTCCGAGCTTAGTCGTCGGTGTACTGGCTTGTTGATCGGACTGTCTCACGCACGAAATTGTCTCCCTGACGGTGTCAGTTCTCGTTACATCTCTGGTCATATCACGAATCAACTACTGACTCACTGTGTACGGTAACGGGACTCAGAAAATTTTTGACCGACTCCAGAAAATTTTGAACTTTGCCGCTAGAGTGATCTTCGGACGGCGTAAGTTTGACCACGTCTCGGACCTGCGCGACAGACTTGGCTGGCTATCACCAAAATCCATGTCAGATTACCTGACACTCACGATCGCGCAAAAGGTCATTAAGCATGAAGAGCCCGAGAACCTTGCTGCACTGTTCGTCCCCAATCAAAATTTTCGAGACAGGCACACACGGCAGGATCGTCTCCTTCATCTTCCCCGACCGAGGCTTGAAACCGGAAAACGGCGTTTTGAGTACCGCGCCGCGGCGCTGTTAAATAGCCTTCCACCCCAGGTAGTGCAGCTGCCACCTGCCAGCTTCGCCCGGTCTGCCAGGGCCGCGCTGATTAACAAATCCCCGCTACGCCGCTGACGAGTCTGTTTAGTAGTAGACAAGGCATGCCGCCAATAGGTGGACGATCTGTTTGTGCTTATGTATATATATTGTTTGTCTTATGTACATATGTAGATGATTATTGTCGCGACCCCCATCGATGGATGACTGTCGTCTAGTGCTGAGTGTTCTTCCCCCTGCCCGCATGATTGTTACCCATTATACTCGGATCTAAGCCGTAATCGCCACGCCATATGTGGAAGGCTTTTGGTGTCAATACATACATACATACATACAATCGTCACCAAACTTTTAGTACCCTCCCGTGAATAGATTTTGCACATTGTGACTGTTAAATACTGAGAGGTCCAAGCTGCACTGTATTGTCGTCACGACACCAGCCCGTGTGGGCACCGGGCACAGACTGACACACCCAGCCGCGCGGCCGCCGGACGCCGGCCGCCAGGTCACGCCATCAGCGCCTCAGGCTATCTAGCCCAGCTGGCCGGCACGGCACAGCCAATCCCAGCCACAACAGTGACTAAAAATTTTCAAAAGGCTATGATAAAAAGTTGGCAGGTAATGACGTCAGAGTTACGTCATTTCTGCCATTTTCGACCCATAAAAAGTTTTGCGGGAAGAGCTGTGAGGCCTACAGCTTTAGAGATACAGAAAACTGTTTCATATAAAAGGTGTAGAATCAACAGGGCTACAAACCTGCTATCTCAGATTTTTGAAATTTTTGGATTTCGACCCCCAAAAATAAACATAGATTTTTTAATGTAATAGCCGAAAAATCCAAAGATTTTTTTGAATTTCGGAAAACGGAATATATGTGATAGTGCCTACCACATTCTATCCACATACCAAATTTGAGATCGAAACCTCTTTTTTGGCAAATAGACCTCGTAGCGCAAAACAAAGACCACCATTAGACTCCCCGTGACGAGCTGCATCAACTCAATACCCATTTAAAGGGACTATCCCACCTTTAACATGGGGTTTAAGTTGAGATAGCCAAGTTTGCGGCGAGGTTCAGAAACCACTATCTATCTAGGTTGCAACCCCCGCGGCCTCTTGGTGTTGAAGAAATTCGTTCCCTTCATTTGAAAATGGGCCTTGTACAAGGCCCTATCTTCAACATGGAGCGACCGTTAGTGTGACGTCACCTCGTTTAGTCATTCTGATTTAAATGTGTTTGTTCGTTGAAAAATCGCTTAAAACTTGGTCTGAACTTTGTTGTGGTGCCTACAGAGTAAAAAGAATCAGCTTTATGACAGTAATGTGACCTGGGGAAGGAGGTAATTTTGGGCTGTGACGTCACATATTTGAAAGTTTGTGTTTGGAATATGGGAAGCCTAAGATGTTTAATGAAAAATAAATGCCAGAACCGTGTTCCTGGTCATCCAATCTATAAAGTCGGGCACAATTTAACTGGTTTTAACAACATTTTAGAAGGTGGGATAGTCCCTTTAATGCAAAACTATCAGCTTTGAAATTTGACCTTTTTTTGACTGACCTTGACCTGACCTCCACCAGAAAGTGACTTAAGTGACTTACACCGTACCTGATGGTGTTTTAACCATCACCATTGAGTTGGAAGTGAAAAATTGGCCATAAAACATGCATCGCACAACCTTGGTAAAGCTGGGTTCATGTGCTGACCCTTTGGTGACCTGACCTGTGACCTGACCTGGTAGTTCAGTGACCTCTAATAGCAACATATCTACTAGGCAGCTGACGCCCTGCTATCGAACGCCGTTTGAATTTTAAAAATTCGTCCAGTGGTTTCAGAGATACGGGAGGGGGCAAAAAATGTCCCCCCCCCCCCACCGCGCGGAAGGTGGCCGGAAGGCCCACCGCCTGCCGGGATATAGGACATGTTTGTATTTCCACAGGTACTTCGGCGACTGGAGATACCACACATCGTCTGCTTGAATGATGCCACCGCCGAGTTCACTGCGCTGGCCCGAAAACTGGACTGTCCAATCATGGGAATTCAGAATAAGTACCTGACCCAGAACATAGTCGCTGTCAAGGTACCCCGGAAAAGGGCCACGCTGCAGCTTCGCCACCCGCCGCCGGGACAGAAGGGGTTCTACATGCCCTGTGAGGTGTTCCATCCGGAAAGGTGATGCAACTGCTGAAAAAGGCGGCTGATATTACTCAAATGATGATCGTAAATAAACCCTAAGCGTAGCTTACTTCAAGTAACTCATGTTATGGCAGGAGTTTCACAATCGAGGCAGCGAATGGCAATGACTGACCTGACCTCCGATTGCCCTTACAAGAAGTGCGAAGTCTACTTGCAGAAGTGTGTGGAGACGAGATCCTTTTCAATTATTTGACGTTTTGTCATACTGAAAAAGACATGACACTGGTTAAGACTCACCTGGTCAACTCACCTTGTTGGGTTTCCATTTCCGTTCTGAGCCAAAAACATGGTTAGGAAATCGAGAAGGATATTAAGGAACCCACATCAAAAGACGCGCCAGCCCAGATATAAACACAGCTCACATGATTGATAATTACAATGCATATTATGGCTGGAATTTGGCTTATTCAATGAGCACGAACATATTATGATATTATCGACAGCGCAACATATTTATCATTGGTAGCTCTGCAACGCGCGTATGTCTAGAAAAGTGTACAACCGTCAGTCAGTGAATTCGTAGAGGGCCTCGCCCAGCGCCTTCTCCAGTAACTTCTTGAAGCTAGCTAAGTTAGTTGTGGTCACAACATGCTGTGGCAAAGCATTCCACGCAGCTATGCATCTCACATTGAAGAAGTGTCTCCTTACATCGGTGTGAGACGTCGGAATGAAAATATTATTGCAATGACCTCGCGTGCTGCCGTGTTATAGGACGTTCAAACAGGTCAGATACATCTAGATGACTCCTGCCATTAAACAACTTTCAGCACTGAATAAGATCTGCCCTCAGCAGTCTGCCCTTGACTGAGAAAAGCTGCAAGCTACGTAGTCTACCGGCATAGTCAAGTGTCTCAACTGAGACGATTTGATTGACGATTGACCGATCACCGAGACGACTTGAAGGCATGATACATGATACTGCTTCTCTTAGGTTGCAATCCTTAAGCGATAGAAACGCTCGGCCAAATCAAGTACGCATATACCTTAAAATATTATTCAACCTTGATCCGGTCGATTCGACAGGTTCCTGAAGAAGTTCGACATCTCCGTCGAGATGCTGCCTCTCGTGTCGACGATCCCGGGCACCGGTCCACATCCGCCAGCCCTGTTCGACGCGTTCTTCGAGAAGCTTGAGGAGCAGTACCACTCTGTGGAGCAGAAGCAATTCCGACGACTGGACCTGCTGATGCGGTGGCTCTCCGACCAGGATTCCATTGAAACTGCCCTGAAAGAGGTTTGTCCTTCTGGTATTGCTTTATTCCTTGCGGTATATTCCGGTAGATTGCTTGCCTTTAAAGGTAGACTGCCACCTTTTTTCCACAAAACGGTTTTCACTAGAGCTGAGCCACCTATGTCCCAGACTGAAGTCGGTTTTCCGAACTTCGAACCCGTTTGCGAGAAATCGGAGACCAAAGTTCAGTTTGATGCCATTTTTTTAGTCCAAGAAAACCGACATCTCTACTGTTTATCGATAACTTTGAAACATGAATTTTCTTATCTTTTGGTAAATATATGTCAAAACTTTGATTGTTTCGAGATCAGAGAAGAATTTTGGAGTGTCAAAATAAAAGTTAAACCTATATATTCAGTAGTTCATTTTTTCCAAAAAAGTGTGGGAAATGGGGTTTAACATGGGCCATGGACCCATTCCAAATGAGCCATGATTTTTAAATGTTTTACGAACTTAAATGTAAAATAAATTAAACATGGCCAATTTCTTATGAAATCATATATTAGTAAATCATAAAATACCTTACTTTTTCAAATAAAAAGTAATAATCTTATGACCTTGAAGTCTAGTGATGTGTAAACATTGTCGTTAGACATTAACCGATTGATAATTGTATGATAATCGACATTTTTTTCGCGATTCACGTGATGATACTTTGTCAGGTGAATTCTAAAATTTTGTTTTGTCCAGGGAATAAATCATAGGCCGATCTGAGAAAACTTTTTGAAGGTGGCAGTCTTCCTTTAACATCGCCGGCCGAGTGGGGAAGGGGGTGACGCACTCCCTTATAGTTTATTTTTCGCAATAACTCCGAACTCGCCGGCGATAGAAAGCTGAAACTTGGCATACCTGACCTTTGAACCAAGTCACATTTTGAGACACCAACTATATTTTCAGGTCAGGTCATGTCACTGACCTATAACGTCATAAGTGAACTTCGATCCTAGTCAGATATTGCAATTTTGCAACGCCCTCAGTACCAGAGGATCTTATACAAAGAGATAAAACTTACAGGATACAGTATCCCCTAGAAGTCCCAAACTTGTAGGTATATCTCGATTTTTTCCCCTGAAGGTCACATGAGGTGAGGTCTGTCACGTAACCTCCCTATAAGGGGGACTTGGGGTAATCCCGCTACTTGGGAAACCCCACCATACCCCATATTGGTGAGATTATGAGTTTAAACAATGCAATTAGCGTGATTTTTAGTCACCGTACTACGCACGACTCGGGAGGCGGAAGGGATGCGACACTTGCGGATACATGCAAAATAATGATTTTACAGAAGTTATCGGGTAAAACCGTCATGCTAAGACGGGTACTCATCTGCCTTGCTTGAAAGTAGGATTAATAACTGTCTTTGAGGAAAAAAAAACAAATATTCCACCAGCTAGCTGCACAATTTAGTACGATTATTTGTGAAATTGTACATAATGAAGCAAGAGCATTCAATGGCGGGCTTACCGCCACCTTTTTATGACTAGTAAAATGCAAGATATTCTTTTTTTAGAACAAAATCAAATTATATTTTGGAATGACGGAACCATTCATCAACTTTTGCATTGTTGACTTTGCAGACAACATTACCTCCTTTGACCAGGTTCGTGACCTGGGGTACACTAAGCTGACTTTGAACCGAGGTCAACATCTGAGCTTGACCTCTGCACCCAAACAGAAAATAAACCATTTGACCTGTCTGAGAAAGACGAACACGATTATGGTAGTATCGCAGCTCTTTTTTGCGAAGTTATTTATGAGTAACTAGTAAGTGATCTCGCGCCTTTGGTCACTTGTCCTGATCTCACAGGTTAGCAGTTGACCTGAGACCTTAAAATGGGGTGCCAGTCAGTACTCTTGGTAGCGGTGGACATGCTCGTTTTTCTGCGACATTCTAGCTCCGTCAGGTGCGAAATAGCGAGGGGGTCGCAGCCGGCTCCCTCCACCCCCCCCGATCGGCTGGGGCCTATGTAGAAACCAATAGGTCCAGCGAGGCTTTTAATGGCAAGTGAATCATTAAGCAACTGAATACATCATATTTAATTAGTCACCTCGTCAGAAAACATTAAATGTCACTCGCTGGTGAATCGCCCGTGAACACATTGTGCTTATATTTTTAAGGGATGATATGACATGGAATTTAATTTGCCTATCTTGTGTATGCCATCTGCTAGGCTTATGTCTCGGAGAGTGGCACAACATCAGACCAAAAGAAGTTATAAGGGAGCGATTGCTGACAGTATGGATTTCTTTCAGGTGCTCTGCAGCTGCCAAATTTCCGAGCAGAAAAAGTGGGACATCGAAGACCAAATTCACCGAATCGTCAGCTGCCAAGAAAAAAGCAGTCTCGAGTTTCTCAGGGACGCCAGGACCATGATGCTGCCCAAAGGGATGGTGCTGTGCGACATAGCTGCTCCCGTGGCTCCTTCGGTCCTACCTGGCTACACTCCAAGTTCAGCCCCCACTGACCCCACTCCAGTCCCCACTGGCCCCACTTCAGCCCCCACTGACCCCACTCCAGCCCCCACTGACCCCACTCCAGCCCCCATTGGCCCCACTCCAGCCCCCACTGACCCCACTCCAGTCCCCTCCGACTTCAGCTCCACTCCAGCCCCCACTGTCCCCACTGGCCCCACTTCAGCCCTCACTGACCCCACTCCAGCCCCCACTGACCACACTCCAGTCCTCTCCGAGTTCAGCTCCACTCCAGCCCCCACTGACCCCACTCCAGCCCCCACTGATCCCACTCAAGCCCCCACTGACCCCAATCAAGCCCCTTCTATCCGACCCATCCCTGACCACAGACCACCACTGTATGACCCCACTCCACCCGCAGCCAAAACCCGTCCCGCCTGGGTCAAATTTCCACATCCGCCGGCACTGCGACAAGCGGCAGCTAGCGGTACCGTGCGCACCAGCTGTCTCAGAGCCGTGTACAATGTGCCAATACCAGTGTCACCGTCGGTGGAAGATCACGGCCTTCCTTTTAGCCGCATGGCAGCTGTGCCGCTGCAGGCGAGACTCTCGGCGCTGCTGGGAGCTCCGACCCAGCCGCTGGTGCTGCTTGGCGTCCATAGGGGCGAGGATCACCAGATGCTGGCCAGCTGCACGTGGCGCGCGCCACTGCTGGAGCGCGTTCTGCTGGAAGGCGAGCAGAGCCGACTGCGAGCGGCGCTCAGCACGCTACAGCTGCGGCCGAACACGCTGGACGCGCTGCCAGAGCTGCTGCGGCTGCCGGCCGCCGCGCTGGTCGAGTGGCGGCGAGTCACGAACCCCCGCAGCGGGCGAGGTCAGGTGCGCGCCGTGCTGCTGACCCTGCTGGCGATGACGCCGGCCGACACGCCGCCCTCGGCGCTGGGCCTGAGCGCTTCAGCGGCCGCCGAGTGGCGAGCCCGAGCCTGGCCATGGCGCTTTGCACAGCCTTCGCAAGGCCGGATCGACTGGAAAGCGATGCACCTTCAGAACGAGCTGCAGGACGTGTACAAAACGGTGCTGAGCGTGAACGAGGTGCTTGGCCAGCCCCTGCAGCAGCTGGATGTGGTCGATACGATCCACGTGCCGATGACGATGCTATTCGGCTTTGCCAGCTACGGTAAGTGATTCTTTGACCTATTGTTTCTATCTATTGTTCTCTGCCTTACTGTAACGAATCTCTGCCTCGTGTAATTGTGCCATTTGCCCTTTTTTGCCTGTGCTTATGCTCTTTTTTATTGCGTTTATGATCACTTTATCCTGTTTCTGTTACTGGCAGCTGAGACGCGCATATGCCCCTTATTGACCAGCGCATGTGTGTTGTATCGGGTTTTGTATCATTCGAAGCCGCAAGTATACCCCAGAGCCATTGCGTTTGAATCACAATCGCAGCAGTGAAATAATGCCATTTTCTCCGCAGGCTACGACCCCGAACCTGAAGAAGAGGTGATGAGCCTGGTCGATGCGGTGGCAGACACTGTCGAGGAGGAGGTCTGCTGGTGGCTGGACAACGGACGACAGGACAGCGGCAGTGCAGGTGGCGTATCACCCCATCGGGCCCAATGGGGGACGAGGTCGTGTCACGTCCTGCGGGGGTTCCGTTGGTTCATTTACAATTTAGCTTTTGAGCTGAGTGTGGATGTGGGGTCAGGGTTCATTGTGAATACGGTAAGAATTGGAGAATTTGACATCCACGGCTTGTTTTCTAATAGTTGTAATGTTTTCTCAAGTAGTTCATCCCCCGAAACTAAGTAGCTGCCGTCTCCAGCTTAGAAATCTGTCCACCAGATTCCCAAACCAAAGTACCTGGATCCCCGAGCATGTTTCATGGTTTTGGACTAGGAGTAGTTTGAATGTCAATTCACTTAGCTGGACTTTTCCAGTGCTCCCAAGTTCTCCTTCCACAACTTGATACGACTGCGACCCTTTCGCAGGTGTTCCTGCATGGACGCCTCCATACAGTCGCCCAGGTCCCTCCAGCTCGGAGCACCCGGATCTGGGGGCAGTCAGAGAGCTCACCGGCCTCATCAACAAGCTGACCGGCGAGAACGCGCCGCGCCTGCTGGAGAAGATGCGCCACGTCTCGGTACAAACCGAGTACGGACTGTACGCGCTCGTCGATGTTGTCTTCCGAGCTGTGCTGAAGATGCCGCGACTGATCGACATTTGCGCTGACGCATGCGCAGTGCTTGACAAACTCCAGGTAGGTTGTGGCATCCTTGGCTATTGACATGTAGACCGGTTTTCTTTTTCTTTCAAGATTTCTCTAGAGCCCGATCGACTGTTCACCCCCTGATTTCGCATCGGTTGACACCAACTCTCGCTCCAACTGCCCGTCAGGTGAAGTCAGATCGCAGAGACGGCACGGCCGTCAGCTTTGGCGACTTCATGCTGACCCGACTGTCACGTGGCCTCGCGCCCGTCAACCGGAACACACTCTCGCGGGAAGACCTGCTGCATCACCTGGAGACGGTGGAAGACCCCGCGGAGCGCCGACGCCAGCTGCGGGAGCTGACAGACTGCTGGCGACAGGCCGAGAGGCGGCGCTGCGTCTGCCTGCTGCTGCTGGCAGCGCTCATCCGCCGAAACCTGGTTCCAGTCCGGGCAGCAGGGAGCTGCTTTGGCGAGCTGGTGTACGAGCTGAGGCCCAAAGGTCACAGGCTTCGCAGTGTGAAGCTGTTCGATGACGACAACGGCCCGGGGATGGACGCTGTGAAAGAAGCTGCCGAGGAGATAATCGACTTTATCTCATCTGTCAAGAAGCAGCCTGCGCAGTGCAAAGCGTACTTACAAGAAGTTTACGACGGATTCGCGTTGGACGACTCAACAGAGGATGAGGATTCCCAGTCTTCTGACGAAGAACCTGAAGTCCGTGGCGCACCTGAGGCGAATGATGAAGCACGAAAGACGTCTCTCGGAAGTACGAAGGAGGATAGTGCACCTGCGGAAGGAGCTGACTTGAGTCACGAGGCTGAGGGGCAAACCGTGAGGCCGTTCAAGGGGTAGCGCTATCCGTGATAACGGCAGTGTGAACACACAGAAGTGCCTGAAATGTGCATCACTAAGAAAGTGAACACTTTGAGGATAGCGCGTTCCTTACACGCAAGAGATCTTAGTCTGCGGCAGATCCCAAGGCATCATTTGCTGTGAAGGTAAAGTACTGCTTTATGTGGTGTCAATTAATTTTTCTCAGATGAGCGTTGATATGCCGGCTTGTGATACAAGATATGAAACGTTGTACTATGTTAACCCTATTAGTGGCAGGCTCCTGGCTACCCCCTATTAGTGGCAGGGGGGGGGGCTGTTTACGACCCCCCCTTGATATCTCGAGATCTAACGGGCCGATTTTCAAAATTCAAACGGCATTCGATTTCGCTCAACGTGATCTACATTTCTAAAAAATAAAAATTAAAAAATGTCAATAGGGGGGTAGAGGGGGGTAAAAACGGGCAAATTGCAGATACATTTTAGACTGTTTATCACGGCCAGGTTTCTGAACCAATCTTAACGCAACTTTTGCCGATCGATAGAGAATGAACCAGGAATTCACATGGATCCTAAGAATATGCATTTTCAAAAATCATAGGCGGATACAGATCATTGAGATTGGGGGTGCACAAAAAGTATAGTAAATAAGGTTTTTGTTGGTACTGTTTCTAAAAAGGGTGGTAATGGTCTTGTTATGTTACAATTTTCTTATGAGAGAACGACTACAATTGTATTGGTTATGCATAGGCGGTGTCAGGGCACCTATGTTGGGAGGTAAAACATAACCCCCCTTTTTGGACGCCTGGATCCGCCTATTATGGCAAAAACGTGTCAAAAGAGGATGCACAATAACTGTATATGTTATCACATGATACCTTTCATTCACTGTTCGTAAAACTGGTGCAGCATCGTGATCTTCGCCCAAATGACTCGCTTCACGAATAGGACCCCCCAATTCCCAGTGCTCTGGAGCCGCCCCTGGTAAAGTTATGAACTTGAAATTTTCAGGGAATGTGCCCAATTTAGTTTTAAGAAAAGTCAGAAAATTTCAGCATCGTAGGTTCAGCGGTTTCGGAGATATTCCCGAAAAACCTGAGGGGTGGATAAAAACACCCCCCCCCCCCCTGCCACTAATAGGGTTAAGAGCTTATGCTCTCTGAACAAGAAAAGAGACAATGTTTCTTAGAAGTTGGATGCAGATGAAAGATTGAAACAGTCAAAGATGAGGAGTGATGCTGATGGGAGGGGTCGAGGACGAGGAGTTGTTGCGATGTGATGTTACCTGAAGAAGTCATGACTCGTGGAGGGTGGGAGAAATTCTTCTGACTTCAGCTTTTTATTTGCTCTGTTGGTGATGTGCTGTGATAATCGACACAAATGGTGTTAATTTGTGAGATTGTTTATCGTTGCGAATGACTTATCAAAGTGTGTGATAAATAGTACGATATATAAAGGAATTTCATCTGTATTACAGCACTATCTATGTGTAAATGCTTCTGGTTGTGTTGAGGGTTATGTTCGTTCTGTTGTGAGGGACGCCCAGTGATACATTTTCCAGACGACGACCGACGTTTTGATCAGATTACATTTACTGGAACCCACTGCATCGAACTACGATAGCTCGTTTTGTGATTCTTATTTATTACTCATCTTAGCCATGCATAGTCCTTCTTCAAATTGTCGGTTCACTGAGGGACGTCACCATTCGCATGTCACAGCCGGAGCGAAAATGTTGAATTTGATTTCATCCAATTCTTCTAAGCTTGATGGATAACGAAAAATTGCGTCTCTGGTACATACTCGTATTTATCTCTTGTAGGCACGTCTCTTGTATATTTACACACATATCAATTGTCATTTACCATATGTACGTCTATTGTATATTTACACACGCATTAAATGTCATTTACCTAATTGTCACCTAATTACATTTACATAAACCAATTCTCTCGCGTCCCAATCCCAGGTCCTTCAACACTGATCAGAGACCACCGTAGCCCCTGCCGACGGCACTGCGGTACACCACACCCGACCCTCGGTAACCCGCACCGAGAGCACCGCCCAAACCCAGTCCGGAGCCACCACCAAAGGTCACACCGCCACACTACCAGCTCCGTAGTCAGGACCGCCAGAGGCGCCCAGAGCAAGTGAGCCCAGCCCTGCGGCGAACCGCCCATAGCCGAGGGGCGTGGTCTGAGGATGGTGCGCCACGCCCTCGTAGGTCACCCTGGCGTTGTAGCCCGAGTTGCCGTCCACCCAGTAGGTGACGATCTGCCTCCGGCCGTCGGGAAGCAGCGTCGAGTACGAGCCCTCGGTGCGGTCACCGAGACGGTTCTCCTGTGAGTCGATGTCCACGCCTGAGAAGGTGTCCTTCACCGAATAGCGGGTGCTGTAGTTGGGTACCGAAAAGGAGCTGCCCTGACTGTAGGAGGCGCCCAAAGATGAGGAGGATCCACCAAGTCCTACCGCGCGACTTTGACCGAGCCCCACACCACGACTTCCGCCAATTCCTCCCACACGATTTCCACCAACTCCTCCCACACGAGATCCATCAGTTCCTACCGCGCGTCTTCCACCACTTTCTACCATACGAGTTCCACCAGTTCCTACCATACGTCTCCCATCAGTTCCTAGAGCACGACTTTTCCCAATTCCTCCCACACGAGTTCCACCAACTCCTCCCACACGAGTTCCACCAGTTCCTACCATACGTCTTCCATCAGTTCCTAGAGCACGACCTTTCCCAACTCCTACAGCACGATTTCCACCAGTTTCTACCACACGGCTTCCAACAAGTCCGACGGTACCACTAAGATTGGGTCGAGTTCCTCCGGCCTCCCTCCCGCCGACGACTTCAGAGCCTCCATGACCTCCAACAGGTGCTCCAACGGGTCCAGAGGCTTGGAAACCTCCCATCCGCCCTCTGGGGCTGGTATAATACGGAAGAGGAGCTGCCAATGCCACAGCGATTACGGTAGAAATAATGATTATCTGAAAACATCGGATATTCACATTGGTTTCACAGTTGGCGCTGCTTCATTTAAGCAAACATCGATACATACAAAAGCTACGGAGAAAGGAAGTCTGCAAAATATGACAATTTTGTCCAAGAATGAAATGCGTAGTTGCATTTAACCCGGCCGGGCCCGGGGGGTAATCCCAACCACCGCAGCCCGGGGGGGGGCGTTTTTCGCCCCCCCCCCCTGTCTAACTCCGTAAATAAGAGAGCTACGGAAACAAAAGTGATACCAAACGAAAGGTCCCTACGAGACGATTCTAATGCACCTAAAATTTTTGACCTCAGGTCAATTTTCAAGGTCAGAGGTCAAGGTCAAAGGCCAAAACCGGCACATGTGTAGTGATCTCAAAGTAAGCCTTCTAGAGGACGGCAGGCTGCATCAAACCGGCAAAATTGGGTGTCAAACGAAAGAAGAGAATCTGAGGATTCTGAAAATGTGCTCTAAATCAAAGGTCAAGGTCAAGGTCACGCTCAAAATTGACCTCAAACTTAGCACTTTTTCGCACATCTTGCGTGCTAATTTCCAAGATGTTTTGAAATGTTTTGAGGCTTATCAGTTCCCTATTTGTGGTTCATCTTACGATACAAGGCTGCTCAAAGGTCAAGGTCACAGAAGAGTATCCCTGCTAGAGGCTATTTCACTTATTAAGTTAGTAATAATAAATAAGACAATTTTGCCATCCGGAAGCTCTAAATGAAGGCTTAGAGGAAAATAGATGCCAGATTCGTGATCAGCGGGTACAAATCCATCATAAACGACCTTTCATGTGTCAAGGTCAACCAGAGGTCATTCGAGGTCACATGAGGTCAACATGAAACTTGACCTTATAATCATTCGACGCGGCTTGACAAGGCGAATGCGATGGTACCACTGCCGTAGCTCTAGGACCATTTTTGTCGAAGTTATTTGCGAAAAACTAAAACTGATATAAGAATAACCAGTAACCTCATAATATAAATCTGAAATAGGAGCCAAAAAGTTATATTTAAGATTATCGAATATTTCGCTCCTGGAGCTTCGTCAGCGATAATTACAGAAAAACATATACGTTTTAAACATGGAACAACAAAGAACACTGCAGAATAAATAGCAAACTCATGCTACACTTCGCAAGGGACCGACATTTTTGGCGAAGTTCGAATAGGTACAATATGAATGCATGTATATAGTGTACGTATTTACAATATACACGTATATAGGTACAATAAACAATAGCTTTACATATAGACATAATCGACTACATGTGCATACATTACACATAATATCATCAATTATTCAATTATTCACATGTGATTGTTATTATGTACACTTCACACTATATGTACCCAGAAAAGTTTGTGACGCATTTACATTTTGAATGATGTTCTCTTTATGATTATACAATATATACATATATATATTATACTACACATATATACAGAGGAAGTATTATACAGATATATACAGATGTTGCAATGTACAATGCTTACATATATTTACATATATCTATGAGTCATATATCATCTATGTACAAGTGTCACGTACAGTATACATATATATGTATGTCTAAGGCTGCAGCCGTGTCAGCGGCCACGAGGTAGTCTGGGTGTTAAGTGTAGGTCTCTGGTCTCTGATGTACATGGACTCTTTTATTTTTCTGTCGGGACCATCCTTGGCGCGAGCCAGAATGCTCAGTTTAAGGTTGTTGCATGTCAGAGGGGTGTGTAGGTGTTGGTTTTGATGAGAGCCAAACGGTGTGTCTATGCGTTTGTTGCGTGCGTCTCCAAGGTGTTCATTGAAACGTTTCCTTATCGAGCGTCTGCTTTCACCGATGTAAAAGGACTGGCCCTCGGGGCACAAAGAACAATCAATCCTGTAGATGGTGTTTTTGAAGTGGCACTTCCCTGCAAGCCCTGCACAGCATGTGTTGCAGCGCCTGCCTCCACCTGGGCAGGCAGGAGGACTGAAGGCTGATTTAATCAGCTTCTGGCCGACAGTCTCGCCGCCTTTCCAGGGCTTGCAGGGAAGTGCCACTTCAAAAACACCATCTACAGGATTGATTGTTCTTTGTGCCCCGAGGGCCAGTCCTTTTACATCGGTGAAAGCAGACGCTCGATAAGGAAACGTTTCAATGAACACCTTGGAGACGCACGCAACAAACGCATAGACACACCGTTTGGCTCTCATCAAAACCAACACCTACACACCCCTCTGACATGCAACAACCTTAAACTGAGCATTCTGGCTCGCGCCAAGGATGGTCCCGACAGAAAAATAAAAGAGTCCATGTACATCAGAGACCAGAGACCTACACTTAACACCCAGACTACCTCGTGGCCGCTGACACGGCTGCAGCCTTAGACATACATATATATGTATACTGTACGTGACACTTGTACATAGATGATATATGACTCATAGATATATGTAAATATATGTAAGCATTGTACATTGCAACATCTGTATATATCTGTATAATACTTCCTCTGTATATATGTGTAGTATAATATATATATGTATATATTGTATAATCATAAAGAGAACATCATTCAAAATGTAAATGCGTCACAAACTTTTCTGGGTACATATAGTGTGAAGTGTACATAATAACAATCACATGTGAATAATTGAATAATTGATGATATTATGTGTAATGTATGCACATGTAGTCGATTATGTCTATATGTAAAGCTATTGTTTATTGTACCTATATACGTGTATATTGTAAATACGTACACTATATACATGCATTCATATTGTACCTATTCGAACTTCGCCAAAAATGTCGGTCCCTTGCGAAGTGTAGCATGAGTTTGCTATTTATTCTGCAGTGTTCTTTGTTGTTCCATGTTTAAAACGTATATGTTTTTCTGTAATTATCGCTGACGAAGCTCCAGGAGCGAAATATTCGATAATCTTAAATATAACTTTTTGGCTCCTATTTCAGATTTATATTATGAGGTTACTGGTTATTCTTATATCAATTTTATTCATCATGAGCCTCAAGCAGAGTTTCAGCTTTCTAAGAAAAACTAAAACCACATTTCGGGGTCGTTGACCTGACCTCTGACCTCAGATCACCAAAACTATTTTTCTATTTTTCTCTAGGTCAAACGCTACACAGCCGTGCTCGTAATTTGTCTTTATCTCAAAAACTTTATTTTTAGCAGTTATTTGAAGTTTGCGTCTGTGACGCCGAAGTTTGCCGTGCAGGGGTCTAGAAAAATGGACCTTGTGACGTCATCAAGGGGGCTAGGTCCAAATTTTTTACTTCAGAAGATGTCAAATTGATGGGAGAAAAGGTACTGAAAGTTTCGCCTTCCTATCCCTAAGCGTTCGGGAGTTATCGCAAATATTCGCCAGGGGGGGGGGCGAAAAACGCCCGCGAGGGTTAAAGTCTTTTGCCTTGAAAACAATTTTTAGATTTAATTTGTGCTAACCGTCTTCCCTTGATCACATTTTGAAGGACAAAATCATATTTAAGGACGACTGAGCAGTGTGCAAAGCGAATTCAATACATCGCCGAAACTAAGCTTAAACATGAAACCAACATGCTTTACAACAAGATTACTTTACCTTCTGGCAATGTTTTCATACACTTCAAACAATAAAAAGTAAATCGCACTGCTATATAGCAAGGTCAATACGCTGCAGGCGCATTATTCTGTACATTCCGCTGTTGGCAGCCAAAACTCACCCACATGATGTTTCCTCTTCTAGTCCAGAAATGACAGTAAATCTCCAGATCGGTGCTCGCCTTATAAATCATGGGCTGATGTTGCCTAACGATTTTGTCCTTACCGAAATATCTCCCACGATAGTTTGGACCGGTCTGAAAACAGTGTTCTACCTACACAGAAAGAATACCAGGCAAGGCCGGTCAACGCAACTGGTCCAGTTTGCCCGGAACAAAAATGACCGGTCATGGAATGGTGTAAGCGGATGGACATGCGTTGGCGGTCGGCACTCAACACCTCTCGCACGATCGACACAATGTTTGCGCTAAATATTTCATAACTATCGTCACGAAGCTGAGATGACACCCCATTACCTTTTTCGTGAACCTTGAATATGCGTGGTTAAAGTGATGATCATCTATGTCTGTAGCAATGTCTTGGATCACGAGTGCGCTAGCCGTGTTTCCAAAACTTATGACATGTCATGATCAATTTTTTTCAGCCATAGCTTATGCTTCACCATATACAGATAGGCGGTGGTTTCTATCACTCAAGGGAGACTTTTAAGTCTCAACGGAAACTTTAGTCTTTAACCCCTTGATGTCAAAGTTGACACTGATGAGATTGATGTGAGGCGCAAGCTGAAGGATCGTACAGTTGCAGTTTGGCATTCCCGTGGTTCCGATTGAGTAGGCCACCACCATGGCGTAGTGAACACTCTCCATCATGCCCTCCCTCAGGTTCGGTGCACTGGCGGGCGGCCGCACGCTCCACGCTGCGACAGCCCCCCCCCCCCCCCCCCACCACCACCATCACACACACACACGCACACACACAAACACTTCAGCCCCCTTTCTCTCACCAAACAGTGGTTTTATACAAAGGTCTGTTTTATTCCGATTGCATTGAAATTGAGCATTTACACTTGAGCAGGTGAGGTTACTTCGAGCACTTCCTATAGACAAACGAAGCGTCACAGCGGACATCCATGTTTGTCATCTCAAATGTCCAAAATGTTCATTTTAACGGAATGTTATTTATGTATTAAAAGCTATATTATGTGCCTCCCGCGGGGCTAACATTATGTCATTCTTTATTGACCAATGATCACCCTGTAGTTATTTACTTTTATGTACCATGTGTCTCAAAATAAGGGTTTCAGTGACCACAGCAGTTGAGATGCAGTGTACACCCTCACCTTTGCCCCCTGCACTTATGTGGGACAGAGTGCACTCCTCGGTCCAAGACTGCCAGCTTTGTCACTCGGACAGTGACATCTGACACCTATCAGCCAAAGTGCCGGGGCGTGAGGTCTCAACTCTCTGAAGTTACCGTGAAAACTACTGGTCACCGTGATCCCTTTATTGAAACCGATCATATATCGACACGAGTGCACATATCTAAAGCATTATCTGCCACTGCACTTTATGCCATCAGTACGGTGAGCAAAGTATCTCGCCTGCCGTTTTATATTCAGTCACTCACCCTTGTCTTACTTAGAAAGATCTATCCGCGCCCCCGCTCCCCCGGTGGTGAGGTCAATTCCTCATCATTGGACTAACTTTCTCTCCAGGGTGACCGTTTGAGCAGCAGGGCTTCCATCGGGACGTCACCGTTCCACCCCCGTGGCCCGTGCCGCGGCGCACCATGTGGGTAGTCTGTGTATTCCGATACTCTATCTTATCATCCCATGTAGTGCTGCATTTTTCAGGCCGAAGGGGCTTGCTCTCAACTAAACACAAAGATAAGTGATCACCTGATGACGGTATTGTGCAACGCGATTGGTCTAATCGCTGCGGGGAGGGGACGGGTGGCGCCGTGGATGGGCGGATAAGGGTGGACCAGCGGTCTCGGGTCAGACAGTTGGGCGCGGCCGGCGGTGGAGCTGCGTTTTGGTGACGTGTGTCACCTAGACTGACCTGGACGACCCCATGGTGGCTACTTGACAGCAACATTTCCCGGATCAAGCAAACGGTGAGTCGTGAGATGTCATCAACAATTTTAATGTTTGTTGGATTTTGTGTAAGTACTGCATAAACTCTTATAACGGATGTTAAAAGTGACGATAGCTGTCGTAATTGATTTGGTCGAGGAATAGAAATCATGTCAGTCATGATTTGTGTTGTCTATTAATCCAGAAAGAGATAATGAAAACAGGTTGGATATGTAGTATGTTCGATACTCGATACCTATCGATCAATTTTGTTTCGATCAATCATGTTTCAGTCTTTGATGATAGATTAATGGGGCTAAGTGTATTCTAAAAAAAGCCGACATATACACGTCATGCGTGGCAAGATATGTCAATGATAATGTGGTAACTGACGTCATGAATCCTCATATATTACAGAGATGGTCAAATACCTGACGTCGTTTGCACAAAAGCACGGCCTGCTTCGTGAAGAATGTATCTCCAACTGCCCGTTGGTGATTGATGGCATTGACCTCATGGTATCACTTGAGGATAGGAATTATGATGAAACAGCAGGAGGAGGCATCTACCAAGATTATGCCAGGAACATAAAAACGTTCTTCTGCGATTTGCAAAGGTATGTTCGGCACGAGAAGACTGAAAAAAAAATGATGTCACCGTAAAGGATGTGGAAGCTCGGCAACGGCACCCAACGCGCGACGTTGGAGGTTGTTAAAACTTTGTGCCTTTTCCAATATTCCAGATCCGGAATTTCTCCTGTTGTGCTGCTTCATGACGAGCTACCCGTCAGACTGGGCATATCACGGGTGTCCGTGGAATTCGACTCGGAGTTCATACAGGACTCATACAAGGACCACGGCGTTCGACTTACTGAGGCTCTAACCAGTCAGCTGCTTTACAAGAACATATTTTTGCAGGTAAGTAATGTGGAACTTGTCCAGTAGGTACCTGAAAATAGGTACAGTTTTTTTTTACTCAAGATCTTACTCAATTTCCTTTTTTTCATTGTTGACTCAAATATCGTGTGTCTTAAATACAGATGAGTTTTACTGTTTTTCTGCGCGTTACTGATGGACCCCACTGACCCCCCCCCCCCACAGATTTCCATTAGAATATTGAGATACCTATACAAAACCAAACAAACCATGAGAAAGTATAAAATTTGAACAAGCTTTTGAAATTGAAACTGAATGCGCATTTTACGCGTCGGCCGATCCCCCGCTCCAGCCGGCGACATATAACTCTTTGCAGGCTTCTAACCAGTTGTGCATGGATCCCAGAAAATGAGTCTGGGATTTATTCCCAGAACTCCTGATCTCGGATCCGATGGGATCATAGACCCAGCTTTTTAGTTTACTAAGAGATCCACTTGTATCACAGGTCCGAGCCAAATTTTTTCATTGAGACCCAGTAAGATAATAGATCTTATCATCTTCACTAATTTTTGTCAACACAAAAATCTCAAAAATTCACTTTTTCAACTCACAAACGCTCTGTTTTTTTTTTATTGATTTATATGATTGCACGCCATAACTCACAGTTCTGGTTCTGACTTCTGTGTCATTTCTGCCATAGAAACGCCTGAAAAAATAGTTTCAAATGTTGTGCATGGTGGGATCCACTCAGGTCATAGATCCATGTTCTTAGTTTATCGTCAAATCCTATAAGATCATAGATCCAGGATAAATGTTTAATTGCGGATCCGGTGAGATTATAGTTAGATCCTGACTTGCAGTTTGTTTCGAGATCCACTGAGATCAACCCATCACTCGGATCCATGCACATGTCTGCTTTTAACCGCCATATTTATTGTTAATTAAGCATAGATTCGCCATACATAGGTACTCAAATATTTTCTTTGTCGTAAAATGAACGAAGTAGGAGAGTCGGCCAGTAGCTTTTTAAGTTATCGGCGTATAGACGTAAACAAGTCACTAATGTGGCAAATTTGACGACGATTGACCTCATTTGACCTTGGAGATATTGACCTAGGGTCATGTTATTCCCAGACAATGAAGTTGGCAGACACGTTCACTTACCACCCAAATTTCACATTTCTAGCTTTTATAGGACCTGAGATATGTTTATATGACCCCCCCCCCCCCTTCCTGAGTACTCGTAACCCTTCCACTGCGTGTGTTAATACATATCCTTCCAGGCGGTTGGGGGCATTTTTACCCCCCCCCCCCCTAATTTATTTTTCGATATATCTATTTATTTATTTATTTAGGCTCGTTACAACATCCACGTAGTGGCTTTTACGTTGTAGTGTCAGTATACATGAAAATCATCTCACATCTCGGGCATAGATAAAAAGACAAAAAGAAAAGTAAAATACAAGAACACGATAAGAATATTAAAATACCACGATAACAGCATCTATAAAATGTTGAGGTAAGCTAAATCACCATCCAATAGGTACATGAAATATATGTAAAAGATGACAGTAAATGGAGCGGTACTAAACGACCTAAAAGGCGAACGAACAATGACACCTAAGATATAAACATTGCACAAACTATCACACTAACGCATTCTCTCTGATATTCTTCCTGCACTGCCTAACGGTCGGCGCCTCCCGGACAGCTGGTGGCGCTCCATTCCAGCTAGCCACGGCGCGGTAGGTAAAGAAGCGCCGGGCACGTTCAGTGCGCACCTTGGGTAGCTGGAGCTGCCCAGCTTCAACGGCCCGGGTGCTGCGTGCTGATATGTCTGCGCGGGACTCGACAAGAGTTTTTAGATTTGCGGAATAAGTTCCGTCTTTTAGAATCTTATGAATCGTGAGAATATCCTTTTCCACAATAAGTTTGTCTAAATTTTGCCAATTAAGCTCAGCGAACAACGGTGTGACGTGCACGTTGCGCCGTGATGAGGTAGTGATTTGGGCAGCATGATTCAGCACCTTCTGGACTCGTTTCCGCTGGACATCCCTGCACCCACCCCAAACAGTAAGGCAATACGCTATATGTGGGAAGACCAGAGCCTCAACAATGAACTTTTTTACTGCGGTGGGTAAAGAATGGGAAAATTTCGCCAGCCCTGCCAAAGTTGCGTATGATCTCCGGATCACCATCGAGACATGGTCCTCCCACTTCAGCTCGGGGTCCAATGTGACGCCTAACACTTTCATCTTGATTGCTGGCCGCACCTGCGCACCAGCAAAGTTCACCATAATGTCGCCACCAATGCCTTGTTTTGGCATGCCAAAAAGTATCATTTCGGTTTTAGCCGGATTAATTTTAAGTCCGTTTTGGTCATACCAGTTCTGAACGATGGAGAGCATATCCTCCACTTTGTGTTTATGACTATTCATATCGTTTTTGTTGAAACTGTTGAGAAATTGCGAGTCATCGGCATACATTACAATTTTATCGCAAACGACATGGGAAGCGACATCATTAGTGAATAACGAGAACAAGATTGCTCCCAAAGTGCTCCCCTGTACCACGCCATGGGTGACAGGAAGGAGGTGTGACCCCCCTTTTACTATCTGACGCCTACCGTCAAGCCAGTCGGAAAACCAGTGCCCATCCACACCGTGCCAACCTAGTTTATCCATGAGTCTGCCATGCTCGACGCTGTCAAAGGCTTTGGAGATATCGGCCGCAATATTTGACACCACTTTCCCCTTGTCAGTTTCCGATATTATGAATTGGACAGCGTCGAGCATAGCAGACTCCGTGGAGTGACCCCTACGGAAGCCATGTTGCTCCGGACAAATAACATTATGCAATGTAAGATATTCCACCAGTTGATTACATACCACCCGCTCCGCCAGTTTGGACACCGTTGGCAGAACCGACACGGGGCGAAAACAGTTAACATCAGTCGTATCACCTGATTTGAATAGGGGTGTCACTATGGCCAGCTTCCACTCATCCGGCAATGTTCCTGTTCGGATGGATGCAATGATGCATTCACTATACGTAAAAGGTGAGGTCCGATAACTGGAAACGTTTGTTTCAGCATGGCCACTGTGATGCCATCGGCACCACTGGATTTTGAATTGTTCATCTGTGCAAGTGCAGACGACAGTTCGGACAGAGTAGTTGGGTGCACGCGAAATGCGCCACTAATGACACGCGGCGGCCGCGGCGTCAACCGCTGCCCCTCCGCAGCAACCGTCTCCAGCGATGAGGCAGAACCGCTGCGCCAATCCTCTTGGTTTTCTGCTTTTTCACGGGACACAGCCAGAGCGTGTCCCTATCCATAGGCGTAGGAACGTTTTCGAAAGTGGGGGGGGGGGGGGGCAGGCTCCCAGAGGTCTAAAACCTAACCTACCCCCAAAATCCAATTTCTCCTCGGATTTCGGCCACTTTGTTTTCGCAAACATGCTCAGAGGTAAAAAAAAAATATAGACAAAAACAAAAACAAAATTGGTTAAATTTCAGGGAGACTCCCGTCCATAAACTCAAACTGATGGACGCGTTCCCCTGTCCTCCGCAGCCGTTGGCACCCATGCAAATTCCAGAGGCATCCAAGAACTTTTTCATTACGAGCAAGCGTGAAACGTGCAAAGCGAGTCTTTTCAATATACCTAAAAAAATCAGCAGGAACGGCCCAGCTAGGCTCAGCCAGGCCTGTAACGTTTTTAACCCGCGCACCGACGGGGGTCTGCGCCAACTTCGCACCGACGGGGGGGGGGGGCGGATGACCGCCCCCCCCCCCTGAGATCTCGAGAACGAAGCAAGATAGCGACAAGCGGTAAACGGCATCGGATACGCACGGCCAAGATCTACAATTTTTACTAAGGTCATTTTCAGGTCAGGTCAAAGATGACGTCACAGGGGTGGAAAAAATCAAAATGGCGGCGCTAGATATGGAGAGAGTTTTTCTCGAATAACTTTCGAATTAGTCAAGATAGGAACAAACTAAGGGCATCATCGTGATCCTCTCGTCAATCCGCATCGAATGATATATATGTTGACCTCGAAAGGTCAAGGTCAAAGGTTGACCTCAGGTCACGTGACCTCGAGGTCATCATGTACATCATTCGATGCGTCTTGACGAGCTGAACACAATGAGACCATCCACGCGTCTGTATCTTGTTCCTGTACGGAGTTATTGGCCAAAAACCTTTGGTGACCTTTGATGACGTCACATGACCTCACAGCTGCCCAACAGCAAAACAGACCTCAAGGTAGTGAAGGTTGATCGTATATGAAGTCATGTATGGTATATGGGGCCATTCCGACCCGTTTTAGTGGTAAAAACAGGGAGTTGATTTTTCCCCCATTGACTTATAATGGGGAGGTCGCGAAATTGACCTGACCTTAGGTCACCGATATCAAAATTCCGAGATATACAAATTGTAGCTACTAATGACCTTACTTACCAAGTAGATGCTTACCAAGTAGATCTGTAAGAGGCAAAGGGAGCAGGATGCTCATAGGATGCTGCCTCTCTCCGTATTCTTCTTGATGTGTTTGTCGTACTTGTTCTTGAAAATGTTAACATTCTTGCTCGTTACAACTTCTTCAGGCAACTTATTCCACTGTTCAATAATTCTTGATGAAAAGAACATATTACGTTTAAATGTGCGATGCCTCGGCTTCCGGAGTTTCAGAGTGTGCCCTCGTGTCCTTTCCCTGTGGCCGTCTGTTTCAAGTTTCAGGAAATCTTCTCCTGCACTGACCATATCAAATCCATGTATCAATTTAAATACTTCTACCATGTCTCCTCTTTGTCTCCTCTCTTCCAGAGTTGTCATGTTCAGTTCCGCCAGACGGACTTCGTATGGTTTGGCAGCTAGTCCAGGTATAAGTTTCGTGGCTCTCCTTTGAACTTTCTCCAACTTGTTAATATCCTTCTGGAGGTAAGGTGACCACGCCTGAATGGCATGCTCCATTCGAGGTCGTACAAGGGCCTTGTAGATGGGCAGGAACATTTCCTTGTCCATACATGTAAAGGTTTTTCT